AACTAGATAGAAGACTTTTGTCACCAGAGTCCAGCCTAGGAAGAGGTAAGAGAGGAACTTGTCCAAGGAGCTAAATTTAAGGGGTGCTAAAGCAGAGTCAGCAAGATACACAATACTTTAATGCAAAATGTAAAAAATTCAAAACTAACGCCAAAAATTGATGATGAGCAAAAGTCGAATTTAAATAAAGACAAGGTGTATCCTCGCCGGCATGGCTTGGGCTCCCTTGCCTGACTCCCAGCATGGTTCCAAGGCACACACTTGTCAAGGGGCGCAGAGGAATCTCTTAGAGGCGCGGGCAGGTGAGTGAGATGCCCTTCTAATAGTGCCCAAGATCTGAGAGCTGGCAGCGCTGCAGCCTGTCTGCAACTCAGCAGTGGTGCAAGGGAAACCCGAGTGTGGCTCCAGAGCTGGTCGCCCTCTGGAGACTGGGAAGACGCGAGTCAGCCATCAGCGGAGCTCTTTTTGCCCTGCTGCAAGCTTCTGCTCTGTTTCCCTCCCTTCCCCAGCACTCCTTCCCATCCTGTTCTGACCCGGGGAGGCCCTTCCCACCGCAGCTCCGAGTCTGCTCACTTTTTGGTGGATCCAGGCGCATCTGCACTACTTCATACTTTTGCTGCCAGGTGTGTCCGGAGCTCCCAAAGCCAAGTCTGCAGAGCACAGTGAACATTGCCGTGTAGAATAGGAGCAGTTGGAAAGTGTGTGAATTTCATGGTACGCACCATGTATAAAAGCCCAGGGATTTGTTTTGACATTTTCAGTTGGCATATCTGAAATTTTACAAAAGGGCCCCAAATCTCATCACCCTTGCAATTGCCTATAGAAGCAAACTGAATGAACTACGGACATTAGGGCAACTGCTAATGTCAGGGAGTTCTCAAAATGCGGTCCATGTGTCTAAAAAAGGAACTTGCAGACTGTGATTGCAGTCACTGCAGAGAACGCTCCGGCCTGAAGACACCCTGTCAGCGCATCTGGCTCAGCTCCTTGGTGCTGGGACGAGGGAGATCTTGACTGGACCACATGTTAGTTACATATTTTTAAAGGTCAAATAATGTTTTTAGTAATTTAGAAATTGTGTGTGTGTGTGTGTGTGTGTGTGTGTGTGTGTGTGCGCGCGCGTGCACGCATTTTGTTTTTGAGACAGGGTCTCGCTATGTAATCCAGGCTGACCTTGAACTCACTATGTAGCCCAGGCTGGCCTCAAACACAGTGATCTTCCTGCCTCAGCCTCCCAAGTGCTGGGATAACAGGTGGACCACCATGCCTGGCATGTTTTAAATTTTAAAACTGAAAACTTTGGAAAGAAGTCCCTAAACTGTGCATATATACCCAGTGATATAAGTAGCTCTGGCATAGCCACCTTCTCACACAGAAATGCTGATAAACAGTACTTTTCCACGCCCCACAGAACCAGCCTAGGGACCTATGCTGCCCATGGTCTTCCAGATATGCTTACAGAATAATTTCAAGAATGTTGTAAAAATGCAGGTTTCGTATTGATGGGATGGTAAGAATTTCTTAGAACTGTACTAGACAGACGGCTGCCTGTTGAGACAGTGGCTTCGTCCACACTGAGGGTGGTCAAACTGAGACCTAGGAGAGCTTCTCTTTCAGGATTAAATCTGAGTAACATTGAACTTCATTCTGATGTTCTAAAATTCTTCAAGCAGGTAGTGCCAGAGAATCATAAAAATATCATAAACATCAGAAAGGAAACAAGGGCAAATGTTTGAAATGCCACTCAGGCAAAGCTAATTTTGAAGGGCATTCTAGTGTAAACAAATCCAAAGATTATTTTCCCTCATTTGTTTTCTTCCTACCTCATGTTGCCATCCTACCCACTGCCTTCGTTTACTGTTTTTCTGTAATGGTGATGAAAATGACAGTGGAGACTCAGTCCACAAAGAATCATTGCTATTGACAAAACTGTCCCTGCCTGTGCCTTAATTAGTTTTTACCTCTTAATTATACACTAATTATGTACTAAGTGATTGACTATCACACGTAGCTTTCCAGTCGGCCCTTAGGCCAGTCGTGAATCACAGCTTTACTGAGCTGTGGTCTTTTCCCTCTCAGGGCTAGATTTAAGTAGAAGGGTGATAAACAATCCCCTAAAGATGGCACTTCACAAATAACATTTTGGGTGTGAAGTATGGCTGGGAATCACATGGCGCAATATAAAGTCAAACACATGAATTCAAAGCTCAGCTCTGCTATTTACTGACTGCTTCTCCCTTGACAGAAATGGGCTTGCTAAAGACATTTGCAGTGGTGGACAGAGCCTGACACACACAGCTATAAATTAAGTTTTAGCTCTCATCTTGTTCTGCCATAAGGAAGACTGTTTCTGATATTGTGGGCATAGGAAAATGAATACACATAAGCTCTTTCTTTAAGATCCTTACGATATCAGCTCTTCTCACAGTCATAATAGTAAATTTGCTATATTCCCCAGAATCACTGTGGTACATCAACCGGAATACAGGCTGTCACAAATCCACAGGCAATTGGTATACAAAAGAGGGTAGTTACTAAAACAAAGCACAGAACTCCAGAGTATCCGGGCAAAAAAGAGAAAGTTTTAAATTCTAATACACATCAATTTAAGTGGTCTATACATTATTTTTTTATGAAGCCAAGTACCCTCTTCTTGCTTGACAATAAAGAAGAAAAGTGTGATGAGTTAATGGGAGGTAAATTTAGAGTGAGGGAGAGGAAATTCTACCTTACAGAATATGTATTGTCAATCTCTAGAATTTAGCTTCAGAAGACCCCTGAGTCTGGGGCTATCCTGGCTTTAACAGAGTTGTGTAGTTTTATGAGCATTTATATTTGTTAAATCCTTAAGAGATGACTGGAAAATAAAATCACAAGAAGTGGGGCTACATGAAAGATGAGCATTATCATTTCCATGCTATTGGCCATTGTGTTTCAGTTTGTTGTTTTGTTTTGTTTTTGAGAGGGGAGGTCTTCCAAAGTTGCCCAGCCTGGTCTTGAACCTACCATCCTCCTGCCTTGGCCTCTTGAGTAGATAGATAAGCACATACCACTGCAGCAATTTTTGCTTCCCCCAACCCTGATGCATTTCCATTTATATTGTTTATTTCATGAACAATATTTATTGGGCCAGGAAGAGATTTGGATCTCTTTTACTTTCACTCCTATAAATACAAACTAACTCAAAGTTTAAGCAGTCTCTGAATCATACAACTAGGTTTACTTATTGATAACAGTTTCCCATTTTTTTAAATTTCTTCTGAAATATATAGCAGTTTGAAACTTCTTTAGCAATCTCATCTTCCCAGAACTAACATAGAAATAAAAGTAAATGAAACTATTGAGTTTTTCAAAGTCAGTCCTTTAGGTTCTTGCTCAAAACATATTAATCCATCATTTTTATAAACAACACTTGTGGTTTCTCTCTTAAAGTCAGATTCGAAAGCCAAACAAATCAGTACTGGTGACCTCAAGTTATGGAGACTGTTCTACTCTTCAGGGGCACTGGATGTGTGAATTGACAGCATATTCTCTGTCACCATGCGTGCCCAGGCTTACATTTACAGAATACTTGCAGACATGAGCTTTCAGTTAGAGGAACCTGGCTTAAATCCCGATTTTGCAGTTTACTGGCTTTGTGCCCTTCGATTGTCAACCTCTTCACCTATGAATTCAGGTTTTTAATAACCTCCTCATAAGGCTGCTGCAAAATTAAATTGCATTCTACACTAGTATTGCGTAGAACATAGCAGGTGATTCACAGGTGTAAATTCTCTTTTCTTATCCAAGTATGCACGACTTGGCTTTCTAATTACAGTTTGGGAAATCTTGATTATCTTTCTGGTCAGTGTGGATCATAGTTAAGGCTTAGCTACTCAGTCTCTTCATATGAAATCATAAACTTTCATTTCTTCGCCAATGGCCCATTACAACATGAGGAAGCCCATTCAAGATAGGAAATTTACACGTTCACTGGAACTACTTCAAGTTCTCACACTCTCAGAGAACCCAACTGATGATCTTCTTGATGGTGTTGAGAGTCACTTAAGTAAGCAGAGGCAATAACTGGCCTCGTGGAATATACAGAGTAATCAAATACCTAGAGACT